AGTAGTAGCAGTAGTAGTATTAGTAGTAGTAGTAATAGTACTAGTCGTCGTAGTAGTAGTAGTAGTAGTGGTAGTCGTAGTAGTAGTAGTAGTAGTAGTAGTAGTAGTAGTAGTCGTAGTAGGACTCGTAGTAGTAGTAGTAGGAGTCGTAGTAGTAGTAGTAGTAGTAGTAGTAGTAGTAGTAGTTGTAGTCGTAGAAAAAAATAGTAATACAAGAAGTAGTAGCAGCAGTAGTAGCAGTAGTACTAGGAGTAGTAGTAGTAGTAGTAGTAGTAGTAGTGGTAGTAGTAGTAGTAGTAGTAGGAGTAGTAGTAGCAGTAGTAGTAGCCGTAGTACTAGGAGTAGTAGTAGTCGTAGTACTCGTGCTAGTACTAGTAGTACTGGTCGCAGTAGTAGTAGTAGTAGTAGTAGTAGTTTAGTATAGTAGCAGTAGTAGTATAGTAGTATATTAGTCGTCGTAGTCCCTAGTAAAAGTATAGTAGTAAGTATAGTCGTAGTAGTGGTCGTAGTAGTAGTAGCAGTAGTAGTATCTCAAGTGAGTAAGCTAGTATAGGTAGCGTGTCGTCAGTAAGTAGTAGTAGTCGTAGTCGGTAGTATATAGTATTAGTAGTAGCAGCAACGCGGTAGTAGTAGTAGTAAGTAGTAGCAGTAGCAGTAGCAATAGTAAGTAGTAGTCGTCGTCAGTCGTCGTCGTCGCATATAGTAGTATAGTGATATAAGTAGTAGTAGTTACCAGTAGTAGTGGTTACGTAGTAGTAGTATTAGTAGTAAGTCTAAGTAGTATGGTAGTAGTAGTATGTAGTAGTTAGTAGTATTTAGTCGTAGTCGTAAGTAGTCAGTAGTCGTTGTCCTACTCGTAGTAGTATGTCGTAGTCGTCGTCGCGTCGTACGTCGTAGGAGTAGTAGTAGTAGTAGTAGTAGTAGTAGTCGTAGTAGTAGTAGTAGTAGTAGTAGTAGTAGTAGTAGTAGTAGTAGTAGTAGTAGTAGTAGTAGTAGTAGTAGTAGTAGTAGTAGTAGTAGTAGTAGTAGTAGTAGTAGTAGTAGTAGTAGTAGTAGTAGTAGTAGTAGTAGTAGTAGTTACTAGTAGCAGTAGTCGGAGGATGAGGAGGATGAGGAGGATGATGATGATGATGAGGAGGAGGAGGAGGAGGAGGAGCAGGAGCAGGAGGAGGAGGAGGAGGATGGGCAAGAGGAGCAGGAGGAGGAGGAGGCGGAGGAGGAGGAGGAGGAGGATGAGAGGAGAAGGAGAAGGAGAAGGAGGCGAAGGAGGAGGAGAATGAGGAAGAGGAGGAGGAGGAGGAGGAGGAGGAGGAGGAGGAAAAGAGGGACCCAAGACGGCCCGAGAACCCCAAGACTGCCCCACAGCGCCCCAAGAGGTCCCCAAGACTCATTCCGAATGCGCCAGACGGCCCAAAAGCAGCCTGAGACGGCCGAAGGGAGCTCCAAGGTGACCCACGAGAGCTCCAAGAGGCCCCAAACTGGGTCCAACTGACATGACAACAGCTCGAGGAGAGCGCCAAGAGGAACCACCCCACACCCCCAATGGCGTCACCAACGGCCCAAACAGATCAACATCACTTCCAAAACAGGTTTTTGATAGCTTTCTGCTTCTTCGCCGTCTCGGGCTTCGGTCGTTGGCCCTCAAGAGTGCTCCAAGACGGCCCAACAAAGCCTCAAGACGGCTCAAGGGCCCTCCAAGGCAACGCCAAGACGCCCAACAGGAGCTCCAAGACGGCCCATGTAGGCCCCCAGCGGGACCCTGAAGGCACCAGACGGCACAACAACGCCCTGAGACGGCTCAAGGAGGCCCCAAGAAGGCCCAACATGTCCTCCAAGAAAGGCCCAAATGATAGAACATAGTCATTAGACAGCCCATCCTAGAGGGCCCACCCACTGCTCTCCCACAACGGTTTCCCCATCGGCTGGGGGAACGCGCACTCCACTAGCGTGGCCGCACTTTCGCTCCACGCTTCACCACGCAAGCGCTTCCAAAGGGCAGGGGGCGGCGCTGATTCGCCCGAGTTGTCTTCGATATTCTCCCGCGCAGCTCACTAAAAGGATCACATGTCCATTCGAAGCAGCCTCCCTTCACTCCAGCGACGGGGGCCAGAGCAAGGTCACAAGGGGTAGCCGCCACCATCCCCTGCCTGTCTCAGGAACGACCACAACATATCAGCTCGAGGGTACATCTCGACCCAAACCAAGCGGCCTTGCCTCAAGCGGCCCAACCAGCAAGAGAACCCGACACGCGGGCTCCGCCACCCCTTTGCCGGCCTCGGAGTCGGCCGGCTGACGAAGCCTTGGGGGCCGAGGCTGGGTCCTCAGGGGCCTGGCAGTGGAGTGACGCTGGCATGGATGGTCCCTTCCTCACTCCTCCTCCTTCTGCTTTTATCCTTGTCGCCATCGCCCTCCTCCTACCCTCGTAGACCTCCGACGGACGGCTCCATTTTTTCGGATCGCTGGCCTTTGGAGCTCTCGACCACAATGATTTGCCATCCGGGGAAACTTTTTGACGGTCCCTGGGCCCAATACGTTCCACCTGGGAGCACGGAACACACCCTGCAGATAGCAGCTGAATAACTCCTCGCTCGCTTCATTCTCAAACTTCTGAACATGTGCTCAACGGCGAACCGCTTCAAAACATACATGTCTAAGTACAAAGGCGTGCCGTGTGCATCAATCTCACCTCTGAGGCGATGATGTGCGCAAAATGAATTACGCACGTTGTACCACTTGATGACGAGACTTCCCACATCCCGCGAAACCTCGAACCCTGAGCCCTGGACCTGAAGCCAACACTTCAAAGAAAATCAGCGTCAGCTGGCACGCGATGCGACACACAACAATTCCTGCCCCCCCTCGACACAAACGCGTGCAGACGTTGTCAGCGGCATTGTCAACAACCTGGTCTCGCCATGGCTTGTAACACGAGGATCCCCTTTGGCCTTCCCACTCGCGGCATAAATTGGTGCCGATGGTGTCCCCGACTTTTGTGATGCGCTTTACGTGCTTCATCTTATTCTTGGAATTCTTCGGCGGGGTGCTCCGAGTGTCCTGTCGTTCCGTGCACTTCTCTCAACTCGGCTCCAGGACTACGCCATCCCCTTCCTCGTCATTTTCACGTTCCTATTGTTCCTCATTCTCTCCCTACCGCCTGATTCGCCCCCTGTGTCCTTAGGCATCACACCCCTCTTGTGTCCTCTGAATGTGTCCTGTATTGTCAGGCTTGTCGCCTTCACCTTGGCCTGCCCTCCTGAACCCCGACGACGAAGAGCACATGGACTCAACGACCCTGGATCTCAAAATCCAGGCGATTGACCATGCCGCTGAGCTCGCTGATGCAGATTTGTTTGGCTGTGAAGCACCATATCGGCAGAGGTCGAAAGTGGCCGGCCGGCCGGGCTAACGAGAAACACTACGAGAAGGTGAACAGCAGACCGGACAACGGCGTTGGGCGTGCACCCCCACGGTCCAAGTTCGCTGATGCAGAAAGTCACCTCTGCAACATCTCACCATGATTCAAAGACACTGGCCATCGGCCGCACGCGGGCACTCAACAAGGACAGACAAGTCTTACCGTGAATGCTTGGGTGGATCCGCTCGACAGCACACTGTTGTCATGGAGCGGACGGCGCACTCGTAGGGATTGTCCCCATGGCATAGAACAACAACATCTCTAATACAATCGAACAAACCTGATGCGCACGCGCCACGTTGTTCCGCAACCGGGTCAAAAATGAAGTCATTGCGTCACGTGTTTACATTTCGAGCCATGGGCTTGGATGAAATATCACGCAGGAACATCATTTTGAGCAAGAGCCGCCATCCGTCGGTTCCGCTGTTACACGTGCTTGGGTGTTATATCAAGGGAGTCATATCTTGAACGAAGCCTAAGCTTGAAAGCACGCCTATCTACATGCGTGGGACGAATGCAAACTTTTGAACGGAATGTGCGCGGCGCAATGGCGAGAGTCAAAATTTGAAAAAGACCCATCGCCCATCCTTGAAAAGGTTGCGAACTCGCAGAATAATGTGCGCGGCGCTAGGTGGAGAGTCCCGTTTTGAAAAGGATCTGCACGACTGTTAGACCCGGCGCGGTCCGAGGCCGAGGGCCCTGGCGTGGCTCGAGGTGGTTAGCTTCAGCGAAATATTTTTCAAGCAAGAGGGCGCCGACCCACTCAGCAGACCAATGGCAACCTCACCGTGCCCGTGAGGTGGACCCCGAGGTCCGGCCAGAACAACAAAGCGGGCAGCAAATCGTGTCGGCCACGCTTAATACCGTGTGATTTTTCCTCCCGCGCAGCGAATGGCCGGAACATGTTGCATGCCTGAAATGATCCACGCTCCGGCTGCCCACATCCGCCAGCTACAGAACTAGAGCCAGCGCGTGCGAGAAAAACCGATCCGCGTCAGAGGGCTCCGGCGCTCCTCTCAGGAGGGACACGCGGGAGCGAAAGCCGGAACTCACACCCATCAGCTACAGTGCTAGAGAGGGCGCGTGCGAGAGAGACTGTCCGAGGCAGCGGGCCCTGGCGCTGCGAATTTTTTCCCAACCATCCTGTGGTGTTGGGTCCTCGTTTTGAAGAGACGGCGCCCCGCGTTCCTCCTTCCCGCCCTCCCGCCTCCTCCTCCTCCTCCTCCTCCGTCCTCCCTGCGTTTCACCCACCCAGAACAACGCTTCGTGGCCCCACATGGAGCTCCACCGAAGGCCCCAGTGGCAGGGTTCGCGTGGCGGCCTCGGGCAATTTCAGCACACACAGACCTCACGAGGATGGTTTCCCCATAGGGAGCCCCACCGGAGCCCCCAGTGGCAGGGTTCGCATGGCGGCCTCGGGCCATTTCGGCACACCCCTCACGAGGATCGTGGACCCATAGGGAGCTCCACCGAAGGTCCCAGTGGCAGGGTTCGCATGGCGGCCTCGGGCCATTTCGGCACACCTCTCACGAGGATCGTGGCCCCATAGGGTGCTCCACCGAGGGCGCCAGCGGCTGGGTTCGCACGGCGGCCTCGGGCCATTTCGGTACACCCCTCACGAGGATCGTGGCCACATTAGGGGTTTCACAGCAGGCGCCAGTGGCAGGGTTCGCGTGGCGGCCTCGGGCCATTTCGGCACACCCCTCACGAGGATCGTGGCCCCATAGGGAGCTCCACCGAAGGCCCCCAGTGGTAAGATTCGCATGGCGGCCTCGGCTCCATAGGGAGCTCCGCTGGAGGCCCCCAGTGGCAGGGTTCGCATGGCGGCCTCGGGCCATTTCGGCACGGCCCTCACGAGGATCGTGGCTCCATAGGGAGCTCCACCGAAGGCGCCAGTGGCAGGATTCGCATGGCGGCCTCTGGCCGTTCCGGCACACCCCTCACGAGGATCGTGGCCCCATAGGGAGCTCCACCGAAGGCCCCCACTGGTAAGGTTCGCATGGCGGCCTCGGGCAATTTCGGCACACCCCTCACGAGGATCGTGGCCCCATAGGGAGCTCCACCGAAGGCCCCAGTGGCAGGGTTCGCACGGTGGCCTCGGGCCATTTCGGCACAACCTTCACGAGGATCGTGGCCCCATAGGGAGCTCCACCGAAGGCCCCAGTGGCAGGGTTCGCGCGGCGGCCTCGGGCCGTTTCGGCACACCCCTCACGAGGATCGTGGCCCCATAGGGAGCTCCGCCGAAGGCCCCTAGTGGCAGGGTTCGCATGGCGGCCCCGGGCCATTTCGGCACGCCCCTCACGAGGATTGGCCCCATAGGGAGCTCCACCGAAGGTCCCAGTGGCAGGGTTCGCATGGCGGCCTCGAGCCATTTCGACACGCCCCTCGCGAGGATCGTGGCTCCATAGGGAGCTCCACCGAAGGCGCCAGTGGCAGGGTTCGCATGGCGGCCTCGGGCAATTTCGGCACACCCCTCACGAGGATCGCGGCCCCTTAGTTGTGCTGCTTCAACGACCGCGCCTGGGCGTCGTACTCCGCCTTGTCGACGTGCAGCGCCGCCTCCTCATCATGGCTCTCAAAGCCCTCTCCTGCTTCTGCTTCTCGGTCAGATGGGCGCCGTCCTTGTCGTCGTCGGCGCCCGTAAAGATGGCCGCGAACGCGTTCCTGAACGTGTCGGGCTCCGGCGGGAAGCCGTGGCCACATAGGGGGCGCGGGCGAAGATGGTATTCACATTTGCGGTATTCACAACTGCACATGGTTGGGTCCTACACGGTGCGCCGCGCGTCCGCTGAAGACAAGCCTCAGCTTTGGAGGGGCCGGGTCCCTAGAAAGCTTTCCGAGCAACTCCTTGGCCGGCGGAAGGTCAGACAGGAAGCGTGCTGCAGGCATGGCAATCAGGTTCAATTCGGCGGTATCCGATTCATACCTGAATATGTTGCCCAAGACGTCAGGATGTGAATGGGCCCCATCTCGGGCAAGCTCGTCAGGTTTGTCATTACCTCTCTTATGTCGACGATATGTGCCCGTGAGTGTGTCATCTGTGATGTGTGCTTTCACTTTTTGTAGACGCCATGCTGGATAGCATCTCTGAAACAAGGCTCTCCAAACCTCTGCCAGCGGAGTCGACCCTGATGTCGCCGTGAAACTGTTTTCAGCTCCGCTGAAGAGGCTCTTGCAATCCACATGGATAGTGCACGCAAAACCTTCACCATTAGCTTCGCAGGACAAATGTTCAAGTGCTTGGAGGAGTGCATGTGCTTCACCAAATACCGCACTCTGGGGAGAAAACCAGGTGCGTTCCCAAAGGCAGCCTGAATGGCATCCCCCTCCTCATTAGCAGCAATAACTGCTCACCCAGACCTGGCAACAAGGAGTGGCCCCCATGCATGAGCAATCCGTGTGCATGTAAACATGTCTCGTGAAGGTGATTTTCCCGCAGAGGTCCCCGTTGGAGTCCACGTACTTAACCTCCCCATCCCATGAGCACGGTATTTTGCCTGCTGGGAAGGGGTGTCAGAGGTTGCTGAAGAGCGGGTCGTCCTCGCCAGCCTCGAGGCCGCGCCTGGCCAGCTCTGCCGAAAGGAACTCCGATCTGCGTTCTTGCAGACCTTCACACTGATAGAGACGATGCCAAACTGAATCTATGCGACAATTCTTGTCACGGCGGCAGAATGGGCACAGCGGTGATACCTGAAAACCCCATCTGTGTAAGGTACTCGCAGTAAGATATGAGCGCGTGGAAACTTGTTCAATGCAGCGGCGATTCATTTTCGTACTCTTGCTAGAAGTGGACCTCCAATAGCTTCTCGGCGGTTCCACCCAGAGCCCCCTCTCCAAGATCTCCTGAGCACGTACATTGTCGCTGTCGCCTAGATATTTAGCCATTCGTTCAGAGATGAGCTGCTTACTAAGATCGCACATGAAATACTTGGCGACTTGACAGTAAGGCGTGGCCGTTGGGATGAGGGGGCCCCCGTCGCGCATCGTAGCATGTCCAGGGCCCACGACGCCCCATTTGGCTTTCATGATCCACTGGATCATGTCCCCCACAGGCCCCCAAGCTCTGAAATCCCAAGAACTTCTGGGGTGCGTCTCCAGGTGGTTCTGACAGATGGGTATTCTTCTGGCCAACTCGCCTGCTGTCAAGCAATCTCCTGGCCTATGCCCCAGCGGCGTGGTCAGCCAGAACTCCTTGGCATACCCGGTTGCCGTAGCACCCGCATGGCGCAGCGGACCCTTGTCTGGCCCCAAAGAAAAAACAAGCTCGAGATCTGCTCCACAGTGAGGCCCAGGATGCATCCTGCCTGAGATCGAAGGCGTCGGATCTCGGCTGGTGACCATCCTACCACCTCTTCCCCATCGGTCGTATCAAATTTCACTCCGCATAACCGCACCTTGGCCCTGGATCTTTTAGGGTTCTTGAGGGGTGCGATCTTTTGCAATCGTTGTTTGCCCTTGACCCATCTCTCTCTCCGTTTTCGCTTTCCCTTCCCCGCCTTCCGATGCTTCCCTGGGCTGAAGTCCACGCCCAAGTTGATGATGGCAGGATCGTCTCCTGCGTATTGCTTGAGACCAGCAATTGCCGCGCGCGCCAATGCTGAACTGGTTCCAGTGGGACACAACTTTTTGAGCGAGAAGGTGAGGTTGACGAGGCTAGGGAGGTTATCCACCAAGAACGCTAGGGCCAAGCCCATGTTCGTGTCACAGCTCGAAATAGAACCATTATAGTCGTTCAATCCAAAGTCGCCTACGTGCACTGCCAGTGACGGCGTAAAGCCTTGCTCTAGGTAGGCGTTCACGGTGGGGATACAGTAGCATCTAGTATCAAACGTAGCTGCGCTGCTCCCCGCCACGATTCCCTGCCCAAGTTCAATCGGATTCGAAACCATCCCATCCATGCATGATATCCTCCTCCACCCATGCGTGTGCAGTGCAAACCGTAGTGAGTGGAGTGGGCGTTTCCAATCAATGGCCGTGCGAACTAGCTGGAGGTGTTGTACATGTTCATGACATGGCCCCAGATCACCCAGGAGCGACAACACATGTTTCTTGCCTCCTATAGCTAGATCTCCGCGTGCGGTCTGGCGCCGTACTATGTCAGCAGGGCTCCTAGACGGCGCCAGAGAGAATATACCTCTGTGCTGGGCACGCTTCTCCCAATGTTTGCAGTCCCTGGGGTGCCACCTCGAAGTCATCCTGATGAGCGGCTGGAAAAAAAAACCACTTGGTCGTCGACCCACGACGGGCTTTCTGAAAAGCGCAATCTGGAGAGTGCGCATCCAGGTTGGGGCTGCTCCTGCCACCGTCATCAGGCGCATCACTTGACCAAGCGGGCCCACAGCAGGCCGACAACGCAAATGATAGTGGCGAGGATGGAAACCATCTGCAGCTGTTGTAGCCCTTTAAAAGCTCTTGCTCAGGGCAACCACGCCATCCACGCCAGGGGCCTTCGGGAAGACCGTGTCTTCAGGCCAGCCAAGAATCTGAAATGCATCGCGTCCCTCCTCCCCCCCCCATGCTTTTGACCATGGCATCTCCTCCTTCTTCATCTGAGCTGTCAAGCATGAGGTGTTGCTGCCCCAATCTGTGCCAACAATGCCCTGGCGCCTCGAATCTGCCACCATGGTGTAAGCGTGGGCCCACTTGGCCCCGCCCGAGAGCGCCTCCGTGCACCAGTCCCCCCACTTCTGGGCACGATCTTTGCGCTCCCTGGGTAGACAGGCCCCTGCGTTGACATTGGCAAGCTGATGCAATGAGAAAAGATATGCTGCAACCCGCGCCGCGCGCCAAATGAAACCGTCGCAGTGAAGCGGTGCTAGGGCAGCCTGGAGGAGACCGAGCCAGAGAGACCCCCCCACCAGGATAGTGGTAGTTAGTATCCCTTCAGACACCGTAGACGCATATGTTGAACTGACCAAATCTCTGAACTATTCTGGGTAGAAAGGTACTTACAGCTATGATCACATGAAGAAAGTTCATGGGCGCGACGGGCTCACCAATGGATTGCTCGATAAAAGGGGCTCCTGGTTGGTGACCTTCTAGTGCGCAGCAGGCTCCCAAAAGGTATATCTTCAGTTTGGTATTGTGAGCCGCCTCGGAGCCCTTCTGGGAAGCACTGCAGGGCACCCTCAAGTTCCTTCCAAGCGCGCTCACGCCATTCCCCGTAGACACCATCCAGACCAATCTGAAGAGCGGCCTTCTCAAGGCCAGTCGGGAGTCGGTAACCCCCCATCCGCCTCCAGGGTCTCCATGAGTGCATCCATGCGCTCTCCTAGGTCGTCGTAGTCAGGGGCCTCTGGAGCTGGTCCGATCGGTAAGGCAACGGGCAGTCGTGCATATTTGGCGAAGCCTTTTCACTGTGATCTTGTCAAGACCCTCCTTCAGCGTTAAATGGGCTGGGCGACGTGGGAACAGATGCTCGTCCATCTCTGTTATTGTGGAAACTACGCAGGGCAGGGGGTTTTCCCAACGAGAACATACTCAACGCAGGTACCTGTATTCGATGCAACGCATGTTATCGTCGGCGTCGGCGCCACCAACTGCCCTTTGAGCTTATGCGGTGCAAATCCCTCCTGCAACGCGTTTGGTTCCAATTTGAAACCTCCGCCTGCGATGTATGGCGCATTGTTAATAAGATGTATTCTCCCGAGGCGCTGGCAATGTGTAGGTTTGTCTGGCTGAGACCCTCCCCGTCCTTCCAATGCCCACAATAAAGACAACGCCCAGCACCTTTGAGCGAAAAAAAAGCGGGTGAAAGCCTGTGTGGCACTAGCGGAGCTTCTCGTCCTGACTGCTGCCATAGGTCGAGATTCGCCCTCGCCAATATGCAAGCCCCCGCCGAACGCCCCAAGCTCCGTGTTATGCAGCACGGTGCCCAGGCAATCCTCCGTCCAAGTTTGCGCATACTTTCCCCGGCCTCATCGAGGCCTTGACCATGAAGTTTTATGTTCTTGAACAAGTACTATATGAGCCTCGCACTCCTTGATAAGCGAAACTGCAGTGGGCCAACACTTGCCATTTACCGTGAGGAGCTGCAGTCCGCCCGTGGTGGCTGTACACTGAATGTTACCCTCGCGACCGTGGTCGCCGCTCTGCCCCCGCTGCCGCCTCGCCTGACTCAGTGGGCCTGCGCCTGGCTGCAGCCCCAGTCTCCACCTCCGTAGCTGCTCGGCGCCCTGCAAGCGGCGCGGGGGGCATGAGTTCATCTGCTGCAGCGGCCTCAACTTCTTGTTGAGCCTCAGCACCTCGCTCGGCCGATTCTTCATCTGCTCGTTCATGTCTTTGCTGGGCCTCCTCAAGTCCACCTGCCGTGCAAACTTGAGCTGCAAACACACTCATCTGCGCATGGAGCCCCTCCGACAGGTGGGGCTGCAAGTGCTGGGCGAAGGCGTGCATGCCCTGCAAGAAGGTGGCCGCATCAATCTGGCCCTTGCCCTTGCCCTGGGTCACGTGGCTGAAGGCCTCGCCCAGCTCCCC